TGATGAGAGAACAGGACTCCATAAGGGGATGCTGGGTGGCGTCTGCTCTGTCCTCCATGACCCAACGGGGCCCATGGTGGCCTGGGGAAGGTATGTGCCGGCTGTGGCTCTGCCAGGCTGCCAGCCTCCATGATGCTGCTGCCGGCCAGGTGGGGTCTGGCCTCCATGGCAGGTCCCAGGGAAGTAAATAGACCCAGATCAGCTTGGACCCAGTCTGTCCAATTGGGTCACTAGTGGATATGCATGGTCATTTAAATCAGTTAACTGTAGGTAAAGATTTGGTTCCATTTCAAGTTCTCAGGTCCCACAAAGCCATCCACCGCACAGGACAGTGCAGATAGAGTGTCCCCACCATCACAGGAGCTCCTGGGCTAGGCTGGAACCCTATGGCCAGACTCTAGGGTTCTGGGACACAGCTGGTGCGGGCCACCCATGTTCTAGCCAGGCCCACTGGGGAGCCACAGGCTCTAAGTGGTCTCTGCTGTCTGTCTGTCCTGCAGTTGGTGAACCGGCTGGGCTCGACGCGGGGTGGCGTGGAGCTGTCCCTACAGAGCCCAGCACTTCGGACCCAGGAAGAGCACTGCCAGGAGCGCATTGCTGTGGTGGAAGGTAGGTGCACCCATGAGGTCTCGGCCTAGCTGGACCCTCCATGCACCTGGGCAGGGTCTGGTGGGGGAAAGCCATCAAACTTTCCAATCAGGGCGTGCTCCTTGAAAGAGGGGCACTGAGGGCTGTGAAGGGGCTGCAGAGGCCCCAACTGGAGCACAGGCATGTGGGCAAGTGGAGGGTAGGCTGTGAACCCACAGCCCGGGAAAGGCTGCAGGGGTAACCCTGGAGTTGGGGGCCCAGTCCCTGCTTACCATCCTGGGGAATAACGAGTGTGTATAAAGGCTAGACCCAGGCATGGGCAGCTTGCCAGGCAGTGATCAGTGAGCCCTCTTGGGAGGGGTGGCAGGAACAGTAGGTGGGACAACTCCAGGGAAGAGGGGGCCACTGCCAAGTGCAGAATGCAGGCTGCTGGATTCCAGCTTGGCTCCCAGGAGAGTGAGCGAGCGTGTGTCAGGGGCCCCATGCCTCGGTACTGGGCGGGGCTGGCCTGGGGCTGCCCCTGGGGTCCTAGGGGTGGGGACCGGGCCGCAGAATGGGCCATATGAGGGACAGGTGTGCTCCTGGACTGGAGGTGAAGGGCAGCAAGATGCCTCACCCCACCATGCACGCCATGGCTTCAGAGTCCCAGCTGGGCCCATCTGGGGATGGCCAGATAGGGAAGCGGGCAACTGGCATCTGTCCTGGGTCTGCTCGGTCTAAGAGAGCAGCCTTAGGGGGCTTACAGGGCAGGCTGCCACCCCAGGGAGAGCTTCTCCCAGTCTGAGCTGTCCTACCTGGAAGGGGCTGTCTGGAGAGGCGATGAGCTTCCCATCCCTGGGGGACATGCAAACAGAGGCTGGGCCAGCGTCTGGTGGAGCAACTACCATAGTAGGACGAGTTGAAATACGTGTCCTCCCAAGTTCTGAAAGTTGGCTTCTGCACTTCTTGGGCCACTGGATCCAGTCCCCCAGGACCAGCATTTGGGGACCACCGTCCATCTGGGTCCTCACAGAATTGGGCCACCTAGTGCCCGCATTTTGGCCTCAGGGCCTCTGAGGCCTTCCAGGACCCACATGGAGACCCCTCCCTCCCTTGTGGGTAAGGGTCCTGTTCCTCATCCCCATGAGGGCTGCTGGCACTGGCCGAGCCAGTTCCCCCTGGAGGCCCCAGTGGTGTCTGCTGTCACCTCCACCTCCTGCAGCGAGGCGTCTCCTGGGGAGATGCTGATCAGGGGCCGCCGCATTCCTTCTTGGCTATTGACAAGTGTATCCTACAGAGCCATTCACTTCGTTGTCATTATGGATCTTTTTCTGTCAACGTCCCATGGCCATGGGGTCCAGAGGAGGGGCGGCCACTGGTGCCAGAAACAGTGTTGTGCCTCATGCGGGGAGAAGGCCGGTCCTCGCAGACCCTGGAGTTGGAGCCCGCCACCCCCCGCTTCCTAACCCTGTCCTGCTGCTTCATCTTTAACCCGGTGGCCTCGCAGCCAGCCGGCCTTGTGAGGTGGGCACTGGCCCCTCGCTTGTGAAACTGCGCTGGGCCGGGAGCCCTGCTTCGCACGGCTACACCCTTCCCATGGTTGCTAGTACTCACCGGGGCTTAGGGCCCATCAGGCAGCAGTTAGGTCAGGAACAAAGGTACCAGGAATGTAGCAGCCCAGGGTGCCGGCCACCACTCCCAAGGGCAGCAGGACAGGCCCCAGTCAGGAAGGATAAGAGACAAAGCCCTGGTTCCCCCACCGCTCTGCGCACAGGATCTGCCTGCAGGCCACCAACAGGCTGGTTCTCTCTGGCCCAGCTTAGTTTAAACACACAGGGCATTTTGGATGACCCCATTCTCTCCCAGAGGGCTGCCCTGTCTCCAGGAAGCAGTTTGCACAAACACACACATATACACATGCACATGCATCATAAATGTGGCTCCCTACTGCCACACAGACACAGCTAGTACATTGAATTCATTTTCACCTAATGGGAGACAAGTTTAAAATATCCTTGGTCGTCTAAGGGAAAGCCTTACTCTATGTGACACTGAAGCAAAGCAGAAAATCCCACAGACCAGAAGCCGGGAGGCTGTGTGCCCTGCGCCCCGCCACTCAACATTTCTGGGCCTCTCGCTCAGTTCCCTGCAGGTTGAGATGTGAGGATGCTAGCAGCCAGTGGAATGCTGCTGTCCGGGTGGGCAGGACTGGGTGGGACATCTGTGTGCCAAGCCTGACACTGCCCAGAAGCTGCAGAGAAAGAGGTCTCAAGACAGTTGGAAGTAGGTGCTGCCTGGTTCCAGACGAGTCCCATCCTGTCTCTGGGACTTGAGACCCCCATCACGGCCTGTCCTGGTGGCCCCAGGGAAGGGAAAGCTAGCTGCTCCTGTGGGAAGACCCAGGTTTCCCAGCTCACTTGGAGCTCAGAACCTTGCCCAGACATGCACAGGTTGCAACAGGACTTCATGGTCTCGTGCCACAGAGCTCAGAGGTGCCACATCCAGGACTCCTGTGTGCCTTTGGTCTTTAGGATCTTATTTTTTCCTTCCTTCCTTCCCCTTCCTTTCTTCCTTCCTTCCTCCCTCCCTCTCTTCCTTTTGTAAAATGAGTATCAGCATCCTGGTCCTAGTTTGGCTGCTGGCTCACTATGTAGCCGTAGGCCGTCCCTTCCCCCACTGTAGGTCTCAGTTTCTGTGTCTGAGAAATGAGACTTTAGGCCTGACAAATTCACAGGGCTCCCAGGGCACATGGCTGAAGGAGAAGCTGGGATTTCTATGTGGGCAGCCTTGGCACGGCCTTTCCTCACCCTGAAGCCCCTGCTAAACCCCCATGAGGGAAAGGGACCCTCAGATGGCACACATTGTTGTCATACCACTCAAGGCAGACATGATCACATTCACTTTAAAGATGAGGAGACAGCCATCACAGGGGCCCAGGGCCAGGCAGGGTTCAGATCCAGCGCTCCTAAGCTGAGCAGGTTACTCTACTGCCATGCCACTCAGAGAGCTCAGCCCCAAATGCTGGCTGAACTGTAACCCTCGCTGTTCCGACTGTTTTCTTTGTAGTCACCGAACAGGAGACTAAAGTCCCCAAGAAAACCGTCATCATGTAAGTGCAGGCGTGTTCCTAACCTTCCTTCTGACTGCAGTGGCCCCTGCATGCCCACTAACCCGTGGACCTTGACTGTGTGCCTGACCACCTGCTTGTCTGACTGCCTGTCCTCACAGCCTTCGCTTGCCACGCAGACTGCCAGCGCCTTATTCCCAGGGAATTCATCTTCCCCTGGGACCATGCTACCTTCACACTTCACAACTTTTCTTCCAGGGCCTCAGTGCCCCCTCCATTGCCTCACAGCCTCAGCAGGATATACTTACCCTGTCTCACGCAGGGCTTGGACCCAGTCACACCAGTGAGAGCAAATCTGGGCCTGAGATCTGTGTCTCACAGTGGACTAGAGGCAGAATTTTCCCCATCAATATCCTAGGATCTAGGGCATTGTCGTCCAGCAAAACTGCTGTAATGATGGAAATATTACACATTTACACTGCCTACTTCAGCAGCAGCCACTAGCTCCATGTGGCTAGTGAGCATTTAAAATATGTCTAGAGCAACTGAAGGACTGAATTTTAAATTTTATTTAATTTTCACTAATTGGAATTTAATTGAAATAGTGTAACCATAGCGGGGCCTTTAGAGGTCCTGGCTCCTCCCAGCTCTAGGGCCTTTAGAGGTCTCTAAGCCCAACCCTCACATTTGGAAGATAGGGAAACTGAAGTTCAGGGAAGAGAGGAGGGTTGCTCAGAGTGGTTCGTGATTGCAAGCCAGCCGAGAACCCATTTCCCTTGTGCCACACCCATTGTCCTTTTTCATCCTTCAGTGCCTTCAAAGCACATGGTTGTTGGTAATTAAATAACACAAGAGGTCCAAAGCTAGGTGAACCCACAGAAGGCAGGATTGGTTGTGACCTGGATAATCTGGGAGGACTTCCAATAGGAGGTGCATGTAGGTGGGTGTGGTGGAAGAGCTTGCAAAAGCCAGGAGGCAAGGAAGACTATGGTTTCCTAAGGCCAGGTGCCTGAGAAGCTCCAGGATGGGCAACCTCTTAGATCCCCATTGGCCTCAGACCTCTTAAGGGGACTGCAGTTGGTCACGTTGTTGGAGAATCCCATTTTCGGACATTTGATAAGACCCTGGACTAACTCTTCCTTGACTTCCCTCCTCCCCCAAAGCAAGTTGCCACTCCACAATAGATGGGGCTGCCTGGGGCAACAGTGAGCACCCCATCCCTGGAGGCATGTAATTATGGAGGAGCTTTACACAGATCAACTCAACATTTCATCCATGAGGGGAGCATTGTTACACTATGGATGACAAATGGAGGAGCAGAGAGATGGGGCCCGGCAGCCCTATGGGGGAGGCATCTGAGAGGACGCCTACCTATGGGAGGCTGGACGAAGTGACTCCCGAAGGCATCCTGAAGTCCAGTATAATTCCAGGCTGAGGGAGGTAGTGACCCTGACCCTGTAAGGAAGAGTGTACCGCCTCAGTTTAAGGACCCGAGAGGCAGCTGCCTGGCACAGCATCCCCACCAAGGGCACAGTGCACAGTGAGTGGTTCTTGGGAGCCAGGGGTACCAGAAGGAGGCCACCTGGCAGCCCCACATGCTGTACCAATGGCCTCAAAACAGGATGCCCACATGCTCTCATAGGGACAGCAGTGAGCCCACCATGGGGGGGAGGGACACTTAGGAGTGATCCAGCTTTCCAGTTCCACCTGATTCACTGTTCTGTCTCAGTGAATTGAGCAGCATGAGGCCAGCAGGCGGGGCCCGACCCAGGTTCCCCTGACATTCGGGCAGGCTCCACCGAGGGACATGCTTAATGCCCTTGAGCCTAGGTGTGAGGCAAGAAGTCAGGCCTGTGGCCCTGAGTAGGCCACATCTCCAAGCCCCAGTGAAGTGGAGAGAGCATTTCCCCTTTGCCAGGTGAGGGTGGGAGGAGCCAGGACCTCTAATTGCTCTGCACCCTGAGGTGAGACCACATATCTCTGGGCCCATGCTTGGGACTAACTGCTCCTGGATGGAGCCCTGAGGTAGACAAAAGCAGAGCTGTAGAGAGATAATGCCTTAGTCATGGCAGGCAGCTGGCAACATCTCTGAGTTGTCACTGCCTGTACGCCAAGTCCCTCTGCCTGAGCCCAAGAGGAAATGCAGGTCCCAGGGCCCAGGAGAGCTATGTTACTCAGTCCGTTCCAACTCATTTCACCCTCAGCACCCAGCCAGGTCAAGGACGCTGGGTGGAAGAGGACAAGCTGGCAGACTGGTCTTGGCCCTGGGCAAGTTTTGCACCTTTTTCAGCCTTGCCCACCCCTATAAAACGGGGTCAGGCCTACCACCCAGGGCTGCTGCAGAGTCCCTAGCCAGCACTCCATGTATACCCACAAATGCCTTGAGTTTCTGCCTCATCTTTTCTCCCCCCTCCCCAGTTTCTCCAGGAAGGAGAAAGACTTATCTGAGGTCACAAAGCCTGTGACAGCTGAGCCACACCCAGGGCCAGCTGTCCTTGCCTAGCGCCACCCCCCCAGACCGAGAGGCCAGGAGCACAGGCTGTGGGTATGTGCCTGACCTCTGAGAGCTCACTGGGGCACTCCCACCTCCCTCCCTCCCATGATACAAAGCACAAAACACTGGTGGGATGAACAAGGACTGTGTTCCCTGCACCCCATCCATTAGCTCTGTGAGGAAGCCTGCATCTTCAAAATTAGATAGTTATGAACAGAGAGGGGAGACTGGTCCACAGGGACATACCAAACTGGACTTGGTCTGCATGTTGGAGGCACCTGTGTGATGTCACAATGCCTCAACTCTTCTTTTGAGGTCTGCATACCGGAGTCTAAGGTTGGCCAGATGAGGCTTTGTGCTGTGTTTTTTCTTTGGTTCTCTGGCTGGGGGTTCCAGAGATTGGGCTCAAACGCATGTGTAGGAATTTGTGCAATTTCACCATTTACTTGCTTGTACACTAACCTGATCTCGCACCAACTCTGCATGTGCTGATGGCTGCGGGTCTCTGTGCCATCTCCTCTCGGCCCCCTCCCCGCAGAGAGGAGACCATCACCACCGTGGTGAAGAGCCCCCGTGGCCGCCGCCGGTCCCCCAGCAAGTCTCCCTCCCGCTCGCCCTCCCGCCGCCCAGCCAGCCCATCCAGGGCAGGCCTGCTGGCCCCAGAGCTGTATTCGCCGGGGGTTGGTCAGCCCCGAAGGCCCACGGCGGAGCCAGGCTGGAGGCCCACTGTGCCCACACTGTACGTGACGGAGCCCGGGGCCCACATGCCAGCCATGTCCAGGGGCACTGGGCCCCCGCCCAAGTGGGTAGAGGTCGAGGAGACCATCGAAGTCCGGGTGAAGAAAACAGGCTCAAGGGGTGTGTCTCCAGCCAGAGAGGTGCCTGGCAACTCGGCAGGGCTTCTCTTCATGTTGCCTGGCGGGACCCCCAAAGGAGACCCCAACACGAACAACTCCAACAACAAGCTGCTGGCCCAGGAGCCCACAGCCCAGGGCAGAGCTGTAGGCAGCGTTGGTGAACCCCTCATCTTCCATGTGGATGCCGGGCCAGAGACCTCTGAGCTGTCCCCTTCGGGGGCTGCTGAAGAAGAGGGCCTCCTGGAGGAGGAGGGGAGCAGTGCTCACCTGAGGGAGGAGCCCCTCGGCGCCCATAATCTTTGGGACCGTGACCCCAAGATCCTCAAGCACGATGGCCGGGTGTTGACACTGGCAGACCTGGAGGATTACGTGCCCCAGGAAGGGGAGAACTTCGGCTGTGGGAGCCCCATGCCCAGTGCTTCCGACGACCCGCCCTGTGAAGTCTCAGTGCTCCAGAGAGAGATCAGCGAACCCACTGTGGGGCGGCCCATCCTGCTCAACGTGGGGCTCCCACCAGCCCCCCAAATCCCACCAGGCTTCTTCAGCTGCCTCCCCAGGAAGGCAGCTCGGCCAGGGCCCCAGGTCCTTGGCCCCTCAGTCTCCTGTGTGCGGGAAGCTCGGGCTGGAGGCACTGCGTCCTGGAAGCCATCCTTCTGCACCGGGGTCCAGCGTTCTTCAGACAGTGGCCAGAGCAGCTTCAAAACAGAGGTTTCCACCCAGACAGTCAGCTTTGGGACAGTGGGTGAGCAGGTCACCCTGCACATCCGGCCGGATGAGGACGACTGCTCCAGCCCCTCCCAGGGCTGAGGCTGAAACCATGGGGGTGCAGGCAGCTGGGGGTTGAAGCAGGGCCAGAACACCCCTGAGACATCTGCTGTGGCTGCACGACCAACAGTAAAAGGGCATGGCCTTGGGGCTTAGGACCCTACCTGACACCAGCACCTACCTCCTTTGCAGCTGCCCTGGGTTTTGGGGCTAGGCTCAGGAGAGAGGCCCAAAGCCGGCACCTGGGACACACGTTCTCTGACCCTCCCCTCACTCCCCAGCAACTCAGGGCTCCAGCTGCCCATCCTCCTGCCCAGCCAGCACTTCCTACCTCACAGGGCGGGTTCTTCAGCTGAGGACACTGTGTGAAGGGCTGTAATCTGGACTACCAAAAGTGCTGGCAGAGCCACTGGTACACTAGCTCTGGGCCGATCCTCGCCTCTGTTTATGGCAGCATAGCCCCGCCTCATACCCAGTCTGCCCCCACCTTCTCTGTGGGGGCTCCCCCAAGGCCACATCTTCCCCATGGACACTTTTCTTAGCCTCCAGGAGGCCCACGGGGGCTCACTCTGCAGACCTTCCAGGCCTTTCCTATAGGGTTGGCCAGGGTCTGTTGGTAGGAAGCAGACCCCATCAGTTGACCCCGTGATAATAAACCGGCTCCCACACTCCCTGTGTTCTGCTCCTTCTTGATTCTCTGGCAACTCAGGCAGGAGGGATCTCTAGACCTGACCTGGGGGGACAACGAGTGGGCAGTCATTGGTGGGTCCTGGCCTGTCCTGGATCCCTGGGTAGAAGCAGGGCAGCTCGCCTGACCACCCTGCTCACACACAGGCTCGGGAGCTGGTCACAGGTGCACATGGTGTGACCACCCCTAGTGGTTGTTCTCAGCCTGCCACCAGTGAGCAGGCCTTCCTGCCTCCTGTGCAGTGGGCTGTTGTCAGGACAGACAAGGCAGGTGTGTTGGGGCGGGGGCGGCAGGGAGTGGGTCCTGTTGACTTTTTTGGTATGGGGAAGGACAGGGTGGATGCCCTAACGATGGAGAAGGTTCTGGTGCAGGAGAGGGCTCTAGGCAGGGGGACCTGCAGGGAACAGAGCAGTGGGCATTCCTGGGGACACTTATGAGGCCACAGTGTTGCTGCCTGGGGCTGGCAGCCAGGTGGATGGGTCTGCACAGGGGATGAGGACAGGGAGCTAACAAGGAAGGGTCTGGAAGTTCCCTGGGAGGGGGAAGTTTCATGGGAGGCCAGGGCAGGGGCCAGTGGCCTGGGTCAGGCCAGGCTGCATTAGGAAGGAAGGGCGGATCAGATCTCGGGTGGAAGGGAGAATGCTGCTGGGCTAGGGGCAGGGGCTGCCATGGGAGAGCAGGAAGGGAGCCCACACCCCTTAAAACCCCAGGCCCCTGATTCAGCAACAGGATGTTTGCAGACTTCCCTAGAGCATGGAGCTAGGTCCACTGGGCCTGGGGTCTGGAGTGGGCCACAGGGAAGCCAGCCTAGGATAAAGGGATGGGATGAGCTGAAACTGAGGGGCAGACAGGGCAGAGTGGGTATCCAGACCCAGCTGTCCCTGAGTCGATTGATGTTCTCCTGAAGGTATCTGGGCACTAGCTTAGGGTTGGTGGGGCTCTGTGCTCACTGCCCTGAGCACCGTCTCCCTGGCACAGTCCCCAGGCCCCTTTTTCTCTGAGACTTCCACCTCCCACAGCTCCTGAGAGAGGAGTGGTGGGCGGGTGGGTAGGGAAGCCGGGATTGGCTCACCTGGGCATCTCTGAGGACTGGGATGGGCTTCCTGGAGCCCCCTCCCTGGGACCAGGTCGCCCCTCATCCCTACACGCTGACCCACTTCTCCCACAGATGCTGCCGTTCCACCCCCAGTGGCCCTGGAGCAAGCGAACCAGCAGATCATGCCTGTCCCGATGACACTGGTGGGCCCTGAGGCTCCAGTACCCTCTTCAGGGCACCAAGCCAGCCCCAGTCCTGGGGAACCGCCGGCACACCAGGAGTCCAGTCCCCAGCCCCCAGGCACTGAGGTTGTGGAGGAATCTGGTGAGGCTCAATGATGGGCTGACTGTAAAGTACTACCTGTTTCCAGACTCCTCCTCCCCGCGCTGACTCCAACCTTGGTCACAGTGTGTGCCCCATGGGAGTGAACCGGCAGAACCCTAGGGACATCCTGATGGTTCCATGTACTGGGGGCCCTGAGCAAGACCTACCCCTCTCTCAGCCTATCACCCCATCTGTGAAACTAGGCAGGGGGTGGCTCCTGCACAGGCGAGGAGGAAGGGGGAAGTAAGGGAGGAAGAGGAGGGAGAGGAGGAGAGGAGAGGGGAAGAGGGAGGAGCCACGCCTTGCCCTGATAGATGAGACCCCCACGGATGCTGCCGCAGTGCTCCTCCCCCAGAGGCTGCAGCATCCCACTGCAGGACCCGGGGTGGGGTTGTGGCCCCAGGCTAGGGATTAGGACTAGAGGAGGGTGCCCTGGCAGAGGTGCGCATGCACAGCAGGAGCCCAGGATTTGGGGGCACCCCTGCTGTCTGTGCTTCCACCCTCTGGGTCCTGGAGGGCGACGCGGAGGGCCTGTCGTGAGGAACAGCCCTCAGCCCCATCCTGGGCTCCATCTCACTAGGCCCCGGCCTCCCACCAGCCGAGCCTGGGAAGGTGCCACAGCCCCTACCCCATGCGAGCTGGGAGCAGAACTTGGGGCTCCCCACTGTGGCTCAGGGACGCATCGTGCCCATAAGGTAACCTTCCCTTCCCGACATTCTGGGCGGGCAGTCCACTAGGGGACATCCAGGGGCAGGGCAGGAGGAGTATGGGGTGGGCTCACAGCATGGGTGCTCCTTGTCAGCCCCACCACAGCCGAAGGGCAACGCAGGAAGCAGGGGCTGCCCTTGAGCAAGAGGTATGGGGGAGCCCCTCTACACCTAGGGCTGGGTCCCTGTCTGTACATCTCCTCCCAAGCAGTCTGGTGCAATCCCCTGGTGGGGGTGGGGCAGGGACCCCCATCTTACTATGAGGCTCTTGTCCACCCCCAGAAGTGGAGTGGTGGAGCAGACAACTCACCCCATGCACTGCTCCAGGGTGGAGGACGCAGCCTGGCCAGGGACAGGGGCCACAGAGCTCTGGGATGTCCAAAGCCACGTGTTCACAGAGACCACGCACCGGACATACGTGTACCAAGCCAGCGACTCGGATGCCGCAAGTAGGCTATATGTGCGCCCTGGGGCAGGGGGGACACTTGCATTGAAGGGCCATCTGGCATGTGCCAGCCCTGCTGTGGCCAGCCCCTGCTGCCCGGTCCTTGCATCCCCTCAGAGGGACTTCATTAGGAGGGGAAGGAGGGAAGCCAGCCAGGCTCTCCACAACCCGAGTTACCATGCTCTGCGTAACTTGTGTTTGGAGAGCTGTGGTCCAAGCAAGACAGACAGTGGTTGGACAGAAAAAAACACTTCCTAACCATGGGGCCTGGGCAGAGTCAGGAGGGGGTCACCTTCACTTGGAAAGCAGGTGGGCTCTGTCACCCTAGGGTGCATCTCAGGGCTTTGCTGTTTACCTGAGGCGCCAGGCAGGCTCCAGCTCACAGACTCATTGCAGTCTGGGCTCCTCCCCACGGGCTCCCTCCCCCATCCCCAGGACCGCCATCCATGCAGGTCACCATCGAGGATGTGCAGGCACAGAGGGGCAGCACTGCGCAGTTCCAGGCAGTCATTGAGGGCAACCCGCAGCCCACGGTGACCTGGTACAAGGTAGGGGCAGGCGCAGATGGGGGACCCTGTGCTGGGAGGGACACTGTGTGAAATCCCCACCAGACACGGCATGGCACTCACTGAAAGTGCGGTGGACCATGGCGCCCGGTCCCTGGGATAGGCTGATGGCTGGCCCACTTCCTGTGCCTCCAGGACAGCGTCCAGCTGGTGGATGGCGTCCGGCTCAGTCAGCAGCAGGAAGGGACCACCTACTCCCTGGTGCTGAGGAACGTGGACCAGCAAGATGCCGGTGTCTACACCTGCCTGGCCCAAAACGCTGGCGGCCAGGTGCTGTGCAAGGCGGAGCTGCTGGTGCCTGGGGGTGAGTTGGAGGACCCCGCCCAGGCTCTGGTGCCGGCTCCACGCGGGCATGGGGTCTTGAGGGCTCCCAGAAGCTCGGGCACAGGAAGCTGCCCCCGCGGGCACTACAAAGTGGGGGGACGGGGGCGAATGGTCATCTTTGTCCACACCAACGGCTGATCACTCCCTCACTGTAGGGGTCAGTGAGCCGGACTTGGAGAAGCAAAGCTATCGCAGGAAACTGCTCTCCTTCTACGACGTCAAGGAGGAAATTGGGAGGTATTGTCCCCAACCCCGCCACTCGGAACTCCGGCCTCCTGGAGTCTCTCCAACCTGTAGCCCTCCCCCCCACACACACACAGACCCCAGGGTCCCCAACCCGGGAGCCCCCAACACTCAGGAGCCCCGCCCTCCAGCCCCCGCACTTTGGAGCCCCAGTCACCCTGGAATCCCCGCCTCCTGGGAATCCCACCTCTCCGGAGCCACCCTCCCAGTGCCCGTTTGACCCCGGGAACCCCGCCCATCCCCCCAGCTTCTGCTTTCCCAGAACCCTCGCCTCTCAGGAATCCTGCCCGCCCAGCAACTCCGCCCCTCGAGAGCTCCGGCCCACTGGACGGCCCCAACCCCCACCTCCATCCCGTCCCTCTGGGCCTCCGGTCCCCCATCTACCCTCCTCTCTCCCCAGGAGTCCTGTCTCAAACATTCAGCGTGGTCTCCCCTCTTCCCAGGGGCGTGTTCGGCTTCGTGAAGAGGGTGCAGCATAAGGGCAATCAGATGTCCTGCGCCGCCAAGTTCATTCCCCTTCGGAGCAGGACGCGTGCCCAGGCGTACCGCGAGCGCGACGTGCTGGCCGCGCTGAGCCACCCACTGGTCACCGCGCTGCTGGACCAGTTCGAGACCCGCAAGACCCTCATCCTCGTCCTGGAGCTGTATCCCGCTTTCAAACCTAAGGGCTCAAAACGTGCCTGGGCTGGGCCCTTCCCGCGCTACACATGGCCTCTCCAGCAGGAGGTCGGAGTGCTCCAGGGAGAGGCACACCCCTTCCCCACCCGCTCTGGATCTCACCCTACAACTCTGCCTGACTGCAAGTGTCTGGGTGTAATGCATGCTCACTATACCCCCACCTCTCTGAGTCAGAGGTCCCCCGGCCCTGCAGGGTGGTGGTGGTGGTGGTGCTTTGTGCAGAGGGGAGAGGAGCCTCCACTCCAATTCTGCTGCTGGCCAGTGGTCTCAGCCTTTCTCTGCAGGGTCCGTGTCCCACCCACCCTCCTCAACCCTAAGGACCCACCTCCCCAGCATGGAACCCCCATCCCACCCCAAGATAAAACTTGGGTATTGGACCAGGTGGGTTCCAGAGCCCAGAGCTTTCCTTGACCTGAGCCCCAGGTGCTCATCGGAGGAGCTACTGGACCGCTTGTTTAAGAAGAGCGTGGTGACAGAGGCTGAGGTGACAACAGGCCTGCATGCACCCCATGCCCAGACCACCTATCCCAGCAGATACAGCTTCCCCCCTAACAAAGCTCAGAGATCTTTTGTAGATCCCCAGGGCTTCACGGGGTGTCACAGCACCCCAGTCAGCTCTCAAAGCTCTCCCAGATCCAGGCTCTCACCACTTCCCCCTCCCTGCCAGGACCTGGCCAATGGGCCAGCCCTCACCTGCTCCTGAGACATCATGATTCCTGCTTTGCTCAGGCCACTCCACACACCCAAACCCTCCCCACCTTCAGGCCCAGAGGAATCCCTGGCCTTGGGGCTTGTGGGATCTAGGAGGGTTTGTACATAACTTGTCCATGGACCATCCCAGGCCCCGAGAGGGAGTGGAGGCATAGGTATAAACAGGGCAGGGAGGGAAAGGATGGAGCATTTGAGACTGGCTGTCTTACCTGAGTGCCAGGCCTTTGCCACAACAGGTGAAGGTCTATATCCAGCAGCTGGTGGAAGGGCTGCACTACCTGCACACCCATGGCATTCTCCACCTGGATATAAAGGTACTTGCCCCCCCCCCATCCCAGGGAGGGGCAGGTGGGAGACTGGAGTATGCAGGCTGGGAAGGCACAGGCCCACCACTTCCAGCTTCTCTGTCAGGACTTGCTCATTTTGGGGGATGGGGAGCTCACTACCTTTCTGGCAGCCCCTTCAGGTGATGTGGCTGATAGAGTGGAGACTGTCCCTAAATGGTACTGAAACCTGCCCCCAGGGCAGCCCACTGCCCTCCGCTGGCCCCACCATCTCCATGGGACAGCCTTGAGTGTCCCCTCAGGCATGGCAGCCCCAGGAGTCACTTCCTTAGCGTGTGGCCTCACCCACTCCCCAACAGCCCCCCAACATCCTGATGGTGCATCCTGCTCGGGAAGACATTAAAATCTGCGACTTCGGCTTTGCCCAACATATAACCCCTGGGGAGCCACAGTACAGCAAGTACGGGTCCCCTGAGTTTGTGTCCCCTGAGGTCATTGAGCAGACGCCGGTGAACGAGGCCTCTGACATCTGGTAAGTGATGGGCCCCAGGGATGCAGTCCCCACGCCAGCTTACTTACTCTCTGCCTCCCCACCTCTCTTGGCACTCACCCCCCAAACCCCTCACCTGTGGGCCAGGCCTGGAGTGACTCACTGCTGGTTTTTTTCCCACAGGGCCATGGGGGTCATCTCCTACCTCAGGTGAGCAGACCTCAGGCCCCATCAGCTGCTTCCCTGGAAGCCAACCTGACTCCTCCCTGCAGGTCCATGGGGGGGCCACACTTACCACTGGCCTACCCCAGATCAGAGACCCAAGACCCAGGGGGCAGCTATTTTGGGGACAACCAGCTCTGATAAGAGGTTTCTGCCGAGCACTTTTCACACATACACCGTCCCAGAGGAGTTCTGTAGGTCACTTGGCACCGCACTGTTTCCCCAAAGGGTCTGCTGGTTTATCCAGGGGCCACTCAATACAGTTACTGCTGCCCTGAGGACACTACTGGTGTAGACTGAGCCTGGATCTCCTCTACAGGTGGAGCCCTGCTCCCCACTTCAGGATAAGCCTGGTGCCCACCCCAGGCTGAGCCCCAGATCCTCATCTCAGTCTAAGCTCAGATCCCCATTCCAGGCTGAGCCTGGATCTCTGGGCACACCTGAGACACTTGCTGGAACTCTCAGCGCTGGGTGGGAGTGGCACTGAGATCATCCCCCAGTTAGGGCTCCCCCCACCAACACCATGAGACCCAGAGCTCCCTGTCCTGGTGAACTGCCTCCATGGACACAGAAACTGGGGACCATGTCTGAGGGCAGAACCTCCCTGTGCTTTCAGCCTGACCTGCTCATCGCCGTTTGCTGGTGAGAGTGACCGGGCGACCCTCCTCAACGTGTTGGAGGGGCGGGTGTCCTGGAGCAGCCCTATGGCTGTGCACCTCAGCCAGGATGCCCAGGACTTTATTAAGGCCGCCCTGCAGAGGGCCCCAGGGTGAGTGCACATGCCCTCCCCCACCCCATTGCCAACTGAACCCTGGTCTGAGCTCACCTTCCTCTCTCACCAGAGCCCGTCCCAGTGCAGCCCAGTGCCTCACCCACCCCTGGTTCCTGGTGAGTAGGCTGAATCAGGCAGGCGTGGCACACAGGGAGGGAAACAGACCAAGAGGGATGGGACTATCTGACCACAGGGAGCACCAGGGTCTCCCCTGACGTGTCTTTCTCATGTGGGCCCTGCAGAAGTCGGTGCCGGCAGAGGAGGCTCACTTCATCAACACCAAGCAGCTGAAGTTCCTCCTGGCCCGCAGCCGCTGGCAGGTGAGCCAAGGCCCCGTGAGGGGGCACGGGGAGGAGGGGCTGACAGAGGGCATGGCAGGGGTGAGCACACACGGACCTGGAGGCCAGGAAACAAGGCCTGGCTGGCTGTGCGCCCTGTCTGGCCCGGTAGAGCAGGGAAGCAGGGGCTGGGTGTCTTTCCCTTGGTGTCTGTACTCCCTGAGCTGACGGGATGGGTAGGGCTGTGTGGAACATGCTATGTTCCAGCCAGGAGGGAACACAATGACAGAGCCCTGGGGTGCCGGAGCAAGGATGGGGCTTAACGCCCTCCATCTCCTGGGTACCCCCTCTGGGCACACCACGAGCCGGAAAGCAGCGGGTACCTGGTTGACGCCCCCTGTACCCCGCACCCCCAGCGCTCCTTAATGAGTTACAAGTCCATCCTGGTGATGCGCTCCATCCCAGAGCTGCTCCAGGGCCCACCGGACAGCCCATCTCTTGGAGTGGCCCGGCACCTGCGCAGTGACACCAGCGCCTCGTCCAGCAGCTCCTCCTCTTCTGACAATGAGCTGGCACCCTTTGCTCGGGCCAGGTCGCTACCGCCCTCCCCAGTGACCCACTCCCCGCTTCTGCACCCACGGGGCTTCCTGCGGCCTTCAGCCAGTCTCCCAGAGGAAGCCGAGTCCTGTCCGTCAGTTGAAGCCGCGCCTCCGCCCACATCACCCAAGGGCGCAGAGCCACCAGCCTCCCCAGGCTGCATACCCCGGCAGAGCGTCATCCGCAGCTTGTTCTACCAGCAGGCAGGCGAGGGCCCAGAGCAGCATGGGGGCCCGGCCACAGGCAGCAGGAGGCACCCAGTGCGCCGGCGGCACCTGCTCAAGGGCGGCTACTTTGCGGGCGCCCTACCTGGTCTGCGTGAGCCGCTGCTAGAACATCGTGCACTGGAGGAGGAGGCTGCCCGGGAGGAGCAGGCTGCCCTGATGGCCAAAATGCCCTCCTTCGAGACCGCCCTGCAGCTGCCTGGCACTAGCTCCCGCGGAGGCCCCGGCAGAAGCCACTCCCTGGACCTCGACCAGCTACGTTCAGCCAGCCCCTCCACAGAGGCTTGCCATGAGGGACAATGTCCCACCCCTGCCCACTCAGGCCTCCAGGCGGCCCCAGGGGAGTGCAAGCCCAGAGAGGTCTCAGATGCCATGGAGACAGAGCAAACAGTGGAGTCCCAGCAGGAGCTGAGACTGTTTCCATCCATTGGTGGTGACCCAGGCTTTACTGAGCAAGAGGGGTTGTCCCAGAACAGCTGTGGGAAGCTGCAGGCGTCTTTCTGTCATCCACAGCGGGGTCCTGCCCCCCAGGAAAGCTATGCCCCCTCCTCAGCTGTTGCACCCCAAGCTCCTAGCTCCTTTCCTCCAGGGCACTGCCCAGAGGCCCTTTTGGCACCCCCAAACCTCTTCCTCTCTGGGGAGCTCCAGGCTTCCTTCTCACCAGCCCAAGCAAGCCCACAGCCAGGCTCTGAGAGGGGGCTGGAGACCACTCCTCTCCCCAGGAGGCCCAGACCCCCCAGCTCCCCAGGGCCATCCTCACTGGCAGACACAGAGCCTAGCCCCTCCCTGGACACCAAGGACCTGGTCCAGGAGACAGAGGGCCCATCTGAGTCTCAGGAGCAGGCGACCTCATGGCAGTTCTCCCTGGGGTACAGAGGGGGCTACGCCGGGGTGGCTGGCTATGGCACCTTCGCCTTCGGTGGGGATGCAGGAGGCATGCTGGGACAGGGGCCCCTGTGGGCCAGGATGGCCTGGGCCACCTCTCAGTCATTGGAGGAACAGGATGAGGCAAGGGCCCAAATCCCACCCCCTAAGGCCAGTGTGGCACCCCTGCCCAAGGGCAGCAGGGTTCCCCCAAGGGCCTCTCCAGAGTTGACCTCGTGGGAAGACTTTAGTGGGGGCTCCCAGGTGTCTCTGGTACAGATCCAGGACCTATCAGGGGACACAGAGGCTGCTGATACTGTGTCCCTGGATATATCAGAAGTGGAGCCTGCCTATCTCAACCTATCAGACCTGTATGACATCAAGTATCTTCCCTTTGAGTTCATGATCTTCAGGAAGGTCCCTAAGCCAGAGCCACCACCCTCCCTTGCATCGGAGGCCGGGGAGGAGCTGGCCGAGCTCCCAGAAACTGCGTGGCCCTGGCCAGGCATGCTGGGCCTGCCTGCTGGCCTGGAGATCACAGAGGAGCCGGAGGACATGGAGGCTTTGCTTGGGAAGGCGGGGAGCAGCAGGAAGCACAAATGGTCATCCCCCTCCAGGGGCCTTCTGCGCTTCCCAGGGAGGCAGGTGCTGCTGGAGGAGCCTGCCGAGCTGGGGCTATGCCAGAGGGTGAAGGCCTCAGTGGCCCACATCTCCCGCCTCCTGAGGGGCAGGCCTGAAGGTGACTCCCCCGCCCACCAAGGCTTTTTGACTCAGCCAGGCATCCCTGTTCTGCACCTTGGGGCATCTTGCACTCACATCCAGGAGCCCACCTAAAGCAGGAAGTGCCGCCCCCCACCCCCAACACTCCCCTTCCCATTTTGGTTCTGCTCACACCCCAGGCACACAGAGCCCTCTGTTCCCAAGGTCATCTTCCCAGCCTCATCCCGTCCCCAAGTGCATCTAAGACCTAGAGTTGGGACCTGGAGAAGCTTCAGGGGTTACACTCCTGTAAAGAGGATTGAACAGGGCTAGCTAGCCTTCATGACCCAGACCATCCCCAGCCCCAGATCTTGGCTAGGCCTCCCCAGGCACCTGTGCCCCCAAGCTGCTGGCCTTACCTGTCCAAGGTGCCCCCGATCAGGATGGGCCAATGCTGATGGGGTAAGGAGGGGGTGGTCTCCACAGCAGATGTAGTTCATTTCCAACAAAGGCCCCTAAAATAAAGGCTTTTCTGCTACATGGGGATCTGGCAGTGGGTGGCAGGTGGCCCTGGAGTCATCCTCCCATGCTCCTGGTGGCAGTGCCAGGCTCTTGGCATGACTCCCCATGGCCCTGTCTTCCCTGCAGGTTTGGAGGAGGGACCCCCCAGGAAGAAAGCAGGCCTAGCTTCCTTCCAGCTGTCAGGCCTGAAGAGCAGAGACCAAGGTGGGCACGCTACCTGGGGCTAAGAACCCCGGCTATCCAGGGGACCTGGCTGTGGGGTGGGGGAGCCCCTCCACAGTGACCAGGCCAGCACGGGGGGCAAGCTCACACACAGAGGGGCTATCCACATGGGGAGCTCCAGTTCCCTGGCTGTCGGGACTGAGCAGTCCTGGAAGCCTTCCTGAAGGAGGTGCTGGTGTTGAAGATGAGCCTATGCGGATGGGCTCCTCTCCAGTATTCCTTCCTCTGGGTCATGCTCTCAAGCTGGGGATTACCTCTATAGGCTCACCCCACCTCCCTTCCACAGCACCATCCTTCCTAAGAGAGCTTGCTGACGAGACAGTGGTTCTGGGCCAGTCTGTGACTCTCGCCTGCCAGGTGTCAGCCCAGCCAGCTGCACAGGCCACCTGGAATAAAGGTAAGGAGCAATCCTGGTGGTGGGGAGGTGGGGACAGGACAGCAGGGGATGCTCCTTGAGGGCATGGCTCTCAACATACAGAGAGAAACTGAAGCCCAGACAGGGTGAGAGGGCCTGGGTGTTCAGAGCCGCCCCTGGCCCACTCTGTTCTGCAGACGGGGTCCTTCTGGAGAGCAGCAGCCGCCTCCTCATCTCCTCCACGCTCAAGAACTTCCACCTTCTGACCATCCTGGTGGTGACTGCTGAGGACCTAGGCATATACACGTGTAGTGTGCGCAATGCATTGGGCATGGCAGCCACCACGGCTGTCCTACGGCAGGCAGGTGCGTGGGCCTCTCCAGGCCCTCTCAAGTGGGACCAGGAAGAGGGGTCATGCCAGGCCATCGCCTCCTCCCAGAGGTTTCCAAGGGGGCCTGCAGGCCTAGCTCTTGGAACCCTGGCCTGATCCCCAGAGGGGGCTGGCTCTCAGGTGGCCAATCTGCTCTGGGGTGGGAGTGGGGCCTTCAAGCAAGGGCCACCCACTTCCAGGAGAGGTACTGGGTCCCTCTTCCAGGCAGCACTGGAACGGGACCCCTGAATCAATGGGACCAGGGGAGAGAGGGCCTGGCAGCAGGGGCAGGGGCTCAGAGCTGCATGGGTGGCCCCTGGGAGCCCAGCTTAGAGCCCTGACTGTGGGGCCTTGCAGAGCGACCCTCGTCCTCCCCACGCCCAGACATCGGGGAGGTATATGCAGATGGGGTGCTGCTGGTCTGGAAGCCAGTGGAATCCTATGGCCCCGTGACCTACATCGTGCAGTGTAGCCTAGAAGGTAGGCCTGCCCCTGTGCCCTTGCCTCCTGGGTGGACCTGTGGCCAGTGGAGGGATCCAGGAGGCAGCTGGGCCCCTCTGTATCCCTGAGCGCCCTTGCGGGAAGCATTGGCCCCTTCTTTGCTCCTGGGCAAACTCCCTTGGGAAGGGATCTCTCCCTACCACCATTCCCCCAGCCCCATGGTGGAGTGGGGAGGACTGGGGCTGCCCCTCACCCGCTCTGTGTGCCCAGGTGGCAGCTGGAGTACGCTGGCCTCAGACATCTTTGATTGTTGCTACCTGGTCAGCAAGCTTTCGAGGGGCGGCATGTATACTTTCCGGACTGCGTGCGTCAGCAAGGCGGGCATGGGCCCCTACAGCAGCCCCTCAGAGCAGGTCCTCCTGGGAGGGCCCAGCCACCTGGGTGAGCCTCTGCAGGGCCTGGCGGGTGGCGGTGGTCCTTCCAGAATTGCCCTGCCACTTCACCAAAACATACACTCACTGGGGAGGTTTGTTCAGGTCCAAGGAATGAGAGGCCAAGTGTGGGTTCAAAGAGGGGCACCTTGTCAGGGTGCCAGGGAAAGGGTGACTGGAGACAAGGTTGGGGGAGCTGGAGCTGCGGGGGGAGGGGGGGACAGTCACTGTCTTCCTTTCCCACAGCCTCTGAGGAGGAGAGTGGCCCTGCAAAGCCTGCCCAGCCCCTCCCCAGCACGCAGACCTTCACCTTCCAGACACAGATCCGAAGGTGCTGTAGTCTCCCCCAACCATGGGCTCTGAATGTTCTCACCATCCTGCTCCCCTGCATCTGTACCCCCTCCTCCCCCCCAGGGGGGTTCCTCCCTGAAGCTCTGAGAATGGGAAGGGGCTGCAGGAGGGCGCATGGGGGTGGGGCTGGGGCGGGAGGGGCCCTCACAAGCCTGGTTGGTGTTTCCTTACCAGGGGTCGCTTCAGCGTGGTGCGGCAGTGCCGGGAGAAGGCCAGCGGACGCATGCTGGCCGCCAAGATTGTCCCCTACCGCCCCGAGGACAGGACTGCCGTGCTGCGCGAATACGAGGCACTCAAGGGCCTGCGCCACCCGCACCTGGCTCAGCTGCAGGCTGCCTACCTCAGCCCCCGGCACCTGGTCCTCATTTTGGAGCTGTGCTCTGGCCCGGAGCTGCTCCCCTGCCTGGCGGAGAGGTGAGGCGCCTCCTGGCCTGGATGCAGGACTGGGGAAGGGGGAGCAGGCAGGCGGTTTACCTCCCGTCCTGCCTCCACCGGCAGGCCCGCGTGGGAGGGGGTCCCAGCGGAGACGGGGACAGAGTCGAGCTCTTCCCCATGTGCCCCAGGGCCTCCTACTCGGAATCCGAGGTGAAGGACTACCTGTGGCAAATGCTGAGCGCCGCCCAGTACCTGCACGCGCAGCGCATCCTGCACCTGGACCTCAGGTCCGAGAACATGATTGTCACCGAGTACAACCTGCTGAAGGTGGTCGACTTGGGTAACGCCCAGAGCCTCGCCCAAGAGAGGGTCCTGCCCACCGAGAGGTTCAAGGACTACCTGGAGACCATGGGTGCGCTGGGCACAGACACGCGATCTGACCTGGGAGAGGGTGGGCCAGGAGCAAGCCCCTCCCCCAGTTCTGCCTCCTGCCCCTTCCACTGCGGCCACCCAGCCATTCACCTGTGTTCCCCACCTCCACACCCCACCCCCACCCCCTCCCTTATCCCCCAGCTCCAGAGCTCCTGGAAGGCCAGGGTGCTGTCCCGCAGACGGACATCTGGGCCATCGGCGTGACAGCGTTCATCATGTGAGTCCTCCGCGCGGGGGTGGGGTGTGGGGCAGGAGGGCAGGCTGGGATCCATGAGGGTGACCCCAGGTCTCCGTGTCCTCCATCCACCTGAGGATGACCTGGATCCCCTGAACCCTCCCCACCCGCGCAGGCTGAGCGGCGAGTACCCGGTGAGCAGCGAGGGAACGCGCGACCTGCAGAAAGGCCTACGGAAGGGGCTAATCCTGCTGAGCCGCTGCTACGCGGGGCTATCCGGTGGCGCTGTGGCCTTCCTTCAGAGCACGCTGTGCGCGTACCCCTGGTAAGGTGGTCCGTTCTCCGCCCCGCCCACCCCCTTCCGCCCTGCACCACCCAATCCCGGCTCCCAGAGCGGGGCTGACACCACCCCCACCCTACCCTCCATGCTTCAGGGGCCGGCCGTGCGCGTCCAGCTGCTTGCAGTGCCCATGGCTGACTGAGGAGGGCCCAGCCAGCTTCCAGCCCTCAGCCGTGACCTTCCCCACTGCGCGGCTGCGCGCCTTTGTGCGCGAGCGTGAGAAGAGGCGGGCGCTGCTGTACAAGAAGCACAACCTGGTCCAGGTGCACTGAGTGCCTGGCCCTGCGGCTGGTGTGTGTGGAGGGCTGCCCTGCTGGGCTGCACCCCTGGCCTCCCCTCGGGACTCGCAGTATATGCACAGACACGCCAATAAAAACCAGAACAGCATGAGGCATCTTGTGTTTCAGCTTTGTTTTGGAAAGTGGGGAGAGGGCCCTGCACTTTCCTGGGGTCTGGGGGGCTGTCCAGGTAGAACTGCCCTTCCCTGTGGACTGGGTAGAAAGTGAAGCTCCTGACTCATGGAGCAGAGGAGCCTATCAGGGCAGTCTCTCTTGGGGTACCCAGCTTCCAAACAGAAGTCCCTCCATTCTAGGCAAACTGGCACAGTTGGGCCCTCAGCCTCATCCCACCTGGCATCTTCTGAGGCATCTCCACTGGGGCTCCTGAGCTCCGAGGTGCGTAGATTGAAAGCCACTAGCCTGGTCCCTATGGTCTCCTTCCTGGCCTGGTCCTTTGGAGGCCTCCAGGAACGGCCGCTGCAGTCCTTTTTCCATCTCAGGCAGGAGCCTGGTGAAGGACCAGCCAGGCCACCCAGGGGGAGGTGACAGGTAGGATCCAAGCTAGGGAAGGCGTCGGAGGCTAAGCCACAGTCGCTTCTCCCCCATCCGGCTCCTAGGGGATGTTCCTGATGCTCACAAGGGAAGTCCTGTTTGGGAAAAGCGATCGGTCCTGAGGTTGAATGAGCACGTGCTGCCTGGTTTCATCTCCACCAGCTCTCACTCCAGCTGCTGTTGGGAATGGTCTCCCGCCAACACTATCCCCTTCAAGGACAGTCCACTGTACCCAGGAACTATCTCTGAGCTCTCTGCTGAGGAGCCCTTCCACAGGGCACCTGCGTGTAACCCTGGCCACTCCTCTTCAGTCGCACAGTGAGCACACTTCCAGTCTCAGCCCTCGAGGTGCCCTATGACACCTGTGTCTGAGCCCAGTCCTTCCTCTCCATCACACGCTCGCCCAGCCCCAGCGGGCCATGTCCACAGCAAGCCTGGCTCTGTATGTTGGGACCAGGTGAGACTTAGCTCTTTGTTTTTGGAGGACGTATTTCTTTGGTAACCTCCTCTGTGCTGTGTGCTGGGATGACATGCCCTGTCTAAGCCTTTTGATATCAAACTCTGCAGGATGGGCCGAGCTCCGCCTCTGACACTGATAGACACTTGCTGGGGCTGCACAGAGGCAATGCCTTGTCCAGATCCTCAGGAGCCCCACTTTCCTGGGTCTGTGCTGATGCTGGCCTTGCTTTCCTGCAAGCCCAGCTCTCCTTGTGTGCTCTGCCCTTTACTCTGTGCGAGTGTTTCTCCTGATGTGAAGCGGCTGCCTCCTCACAGCCCTGCTTAGGACTTGCCCTCCTTGACCTCGTATAGCGTGATCCATGCCACATCATCACTCTGCCATGACATGACTCTCCTCCCGTCTCACTCAGGTGGACCTCTTCCCAGACTAAACCCTGCCTGAGAAACCCACTCAGCCCCAAAGTACCTCCATTTATGTGTTATGAGTATTTTATTGACAACTTGTTTCTAAAGATCAAATCAAATGCACTGCATTTTTTAACAGTTGTATCATGTTTTTTTCAATTAAGCTTTTATTTTGAGATCATTGCTGAATCACATGGAATTGAAAGAAATAATACAGAGAGAGCCCATGTACCACTTAGCCAGTTTCTCCAAAGGTAATATTTTGCAAAACTCTAGTATGATATGACAGCCAGGATAGCGAGTGACACAGTCAAGCTACAGAACATCTGTATCATTATGCAGATCCCTCGTGTGACCCTCCCCGCTCCTTCCCACCCTTAACAGTTTTTAACCCTGCCAAACAACAATCTGTCTCACATTTATATACTTTCATCACTTTAAGAATGTTATATAAATAAAGTAATCCTGTATGTAACATTTTGAGATTGGCTTTTTTCACTCAGCATAATCCTCTGGCAATTCATGAATGTGGTTACATATGTCAACGGGTCATGCCTTTTTATCAGTGTGTAACATTCACGATGTGGGTGCACCTTGATTTGTCTAGTCATTCACCCACTGAAGGGTATTTGGGTCATTCCAGTTCGGGGCTATTTCAGGTAAAGCTGCTCTAAAAATTTGTGCACAGATCTCTGTGTGAACATAAGTCTGTTACTCTCGGACAAACGCCGGGGGTGCACCTGCTGCCAAATGCTGTAGTTCCATTTGCCATCTGTGTCTCCTCTGGGTGAAATGTGTGTGCACGGCTTTTGCCCATTTTATAATTGGGTTGCTTGTTTACTTACTGGTGAGTTTTGAGAGTTCTGTACGTGTTCTGGATACTAGTCCTTTGTCAGATATGTGGCTCACAAATATTTCCCCCCATTTTGTACCTGTCTTTTCATCCTCTTAGCAGGGTGTTTCGAAGAGCAAAGGTTTTACTACAATTATTTGTAGTAAAACACATATAACACAAAATTTACCACTTTTAAGTGTAAAGTTCGGTATTGTTAATTATATGCACATTGTTGTGCAACCATAACCACCAGCTATTTCCAGAACTTTCTCAACTTGCAAAACTAAAATTCTGTGCCCATTAAACAACAATTTCCCACTTCTCCTGCTTCCCAGCCCCTGGCAACTGCCATTCTACTTTCTGTTTCTATGAATTTGTTTACCCTAGGCACCTCATATAAATGGAATCATACTGTATCTTTTTGTGTCTGGCTTATTTCATTTAACATAATGTCCCCAAAGTTCATCCGCACTGCAGCGTGTGTGAAAATGTCCTTCCTTTTTCAGGCTGACTAATACCCCATTGCATGTATAGACCACATTTGTTTATCCATTCATCTGTCAGTGGACTTTTGAGATACTTCCACTTCAAGAAACTATTGTGAATAATGCTGCAGTGAACATAGGTGTGCAGATATCTCTTTGAGGTCTTGCTGTAAATTCTTTTGGGTGCATATCCAAACGTGGGATTTTTGGATAACATGGTAATTTTATTTTTAATTTTTTGAGAAACTACCACACTGTTTTCCATAGTGGCTGCACCATTTTACATTCCCACTAACAAAGTATAAGGGTTCCTAATTCTGCACATCCATCGATATTTATTACTTTCTTTTTTTTTAATGGTAGCCATCCTGTTGATTGTGAGGTGGTATTTTACTGTGGTTTTGATTTGCATTTCCCTAATGATTAGTGAAGTTGAGCATCTTTTCATATATTTGTTGGTCTTTTGTATATCTTCTTTGGAAAAATGTCTATTCAAGTCCTTCGTCCATTTTCTAATTGGGTTATTTTTGTTGTTATTTTTGCTGAGTTGTAGGAGTTCTTTATCTATTCTGGATATTAACTTCTCAAAAATATAATTTTCCCCCTTCCATAGGATGTCTTTTCACTTTGTTGATTTTGTCCTTTGATGGAAAGAAGTTTTTAATTTTTTAAAAAATTGTATTGTTAGTTTCAGGTGTACAGAACAATGCAATAGTTATCTTTTTCACCCTCACAAAGTAACAACCCCCTCCCCCCATCTACTGCCCTCCCACCCCCGATATCATGCTTATCTATTACAATTCCATTGACTCCATTCCCACTCTCTACTCCATGTCCCGTGACTATATGTAT